ATTCTCTTTTTTACTCGAATTTTTTTTTAACGATAGTTGCTTCGTTGAAACTATAGATAAATACTAATTTCTTCTGAGACGATGAAACGTAAATAAAAGCAATAAGTAAATAAGATTATCGGTAATAAACTTTTGAGATCAACTGCACAAGGCCAACTAAAAGATAATATACATTAAGATGATTCATCAGACCACACGAACAGTTTTAAATCATCCTCTCTATCCCTAATGAAACAGTATTTTATATCGGAAACATTAAATGAACAGAAAATATCCATCTTATTCGCGTGTTTAACTATCAAGCAAAATGAGTAGAATATAACGAGACAGTTGGTAAACGAGAGAATAATGCGCCAACGTCGCGTGCCAAAAGGTAAAGAAAGAACAGAGGAAATGGTGTGGCCATTGACGGGCCAACGACGACAAAAAAATTTTTTAAAAATGAGAAAAAAATTAAAAAAAGGAAAAAGAATGACGACGACGACGACGACGACGCTCGGACACAACTTCGACGAAATATTTCTATGGTGTCTGTCATCGATCGAATGTTACATGCCATACACGAGCTGGATATTCTTCTTCATCGACAGAATGGCCGAGAACGTTTCGCGTAACTCGCTTCTTCCACACAACATACGTATATATATTCCCTTCACTATCTCACCCTGCCAATCTTTATCTTTCATATGAATGCTTTCATACCTGCTACACACCGAATAACAATTGGTATTCTTTTCTCGAGTTTTTTCTTTTTTTTTTATCCTTTCGTTGCGTTAACTATTCAAAACTGGCTGTCGAAAGAAACAAAAGGTAGGCATCGAAAAATTCAGTCTTCAAAAGTTTTCATACCTGCAAAAGAATTGTTTTAATTTTTAACTCCTTTCTCAATAATGAAACAATAAACTTTTTTTAATATAAGAATTGAGAAACAAAATTATTAAATTAAGATTTTCAAGAGTTTCTTATTAACCCGTTAGTATCATTTAAGATTACACGTTACTTTAATTTTCAAACGTAATTTAACTCGCTTTATCTTTATTATTATTATTATTATTAAGGAACTGTCCACTTTATCGTAAAAATCCTTAGTTAAGACAAACGATAAACGCATGAAACATAATCTCTAAATAAAATAGATAACACAAAGATCTCTCTTATTACTCGGTATTATCTTCAACAACGTAATTGTATTGTAAGAAAAACTATACCGAGATAAACGTTCTGTAAACGTTGACAATAATCTTTATGATACACGCATAATTCTTAAGCTCGTTGCGCACTATCTATCAGTCGCTAACAATTTGATCGACGATAGATTGAAAATACAAACAAACAAACCCGATGATTCCAATTTTCGAATCATGGTATCTTATAGAAAATTAATGCTTGTATTTTTTTCTTATTATATTTATATAATAAATTATAATAGAGTTATCCCAAAATATTAAATTAACTATATTGTAGTTTGATATATCTAATCTCTTGATACGAAATATAAAATTTATTTTCTAAGTTACACAAACAGAAAACGATTTTTTCTTATACCATACACAGTATAGTCATTCTTGTGAATATTTTAACGACTGTCAAAACACCATTTCTTTCTAAAAGCAAAGGCTTAGTAAATCAAATAATTTATTTAAGCAATTAGGCAAATTAAAAGATTGTACAGTATTTAATCGAACTCATATTATCGACGATAATAACATCCATTAGATCGAAAAGAGAGAAAAATAAAGTAATGATCATTTTCTTGTAAAAGCACTAACTTTCTAATCGATAACTATGTATGTTAGACAGAACGACGAGAAAGGATTAACCCGAATTAGAAATCCTACGGGCAGGTAAACGGCTCCCGGTCGAGAATGCTGAAGTCTACAGGCCAGAGGTATTCCAATCCATACAGAGGATGGTTGAAACGAAGCTACAAACTTACTCGAGTCTGGTCTCTAAGGGGGACTTTGATTTATTCGTCCCGGGAGCGTTTTGCAAAGTTGCGGCCTTCCCGTGCGAAGAAAACGTTCCTAGACTGGCAGTGAAGATAACCTGACCATGTCATATACCTTTATATTTATTAGTGAAAATGTTAAATCCTTAAAAAAATCCTATAGCATTTTATTATAGTAAATTTAATATTTTCACGGTAATTAATCAAATAGATTTAGACAAATTATTCATATTATATATTTTGATAATACGAGTATAATAATAATGAAAAATTAATGCAAACAAATGATCAATTTTTCTTGACATCATCATCATATGTTTATGCAACGCGTTATAAAAAATGTCATATTCTTAGGGAAAAAGTGGCTAACTCTTTCAAGAGGAAGAAAATACGGAAGTAGATAGAATAAAGAAAAGCAGAGAATTCCAAATGATGTGGGTCTCGAGTCAGTCCTTCGCGTATGTTTATATAGTATCTCTGTGTGTACTTGCTTCGTACTTCACGAGTGCCTCCGAGAAAGCTTCCAAGTCTCCAAGAGTTGCATCGGAGCCGTCGACATCCCGCTGTTAGCTCGGCCCTTTCAAGTTGACCGCCATGGCAGCGGGAGGCTTCGCTTGCCGGCCCTCCGATATATTATTACTCCAAGTCATTAATGGTAAACTGCAATTCTCTTTTCTACTTCGGACAACTCGAGACAAGCGTTTTCGCCGTGGGGCGAATGATTCTCCGGCAGCCTTCCACCACCGACTTCTCTTCTCCTTCATTTCTATCTCTTTCTCTCTTTCTCTTACTAGAACACCAGCTTATTCGAGCAGTTTCATCTCCGACAACCAACAGCCTTCAGATTAGAAAAGTGTATCTTTTGCGAAACCACCTGGCATTCGAATTCGTGCGGTCGACCGACTAGAATCGTGCGAAGTTAGCCCAACTTGCTTAGTTTACCACACCAAATTCTAGTTGTTCTCTCTACCTATCTCTATGCGTATCTTTCTGTATCTATTATCTCTATCTCGCTTGCTTTTAAAGCAGTGTGATATCACCGCAAATTTACTACGAATTTCAAGATGTAAACACCAAAAGGAAATAAGATATTCTTGATGAACTCTCTTATTTCATTTTGTATTTAGTATTATATTAATTCATCTATACACAGAAGGAGTCAGTCATCAATTGCTTGATAATTAATTAAATAAACATTATGAAATTTATATTTACAATATATATTATTTTGGGATTATACTTAACTACTATTTGTTAAGGTTTTTCTTAAATTACTTTTCCTTATGTGTGTGTGTATGTATTCTTTTTTAATACTTTATAAACATTTAAATAAATTATTTATTTAACTATCATGTCCCGGCTTGATTATTCTTTTCTTTACTTTATACGAAAATTTAAATGCAAATTCCGTCACGTTGACTCTACTGATTTACTAGCCGTATTACGTGCTCGTCGTCGTTCGCTCTTGGCGAGTCCGAACCGCGCTCTAAAGCGGCATTGTGGCGCGTTGGTATGGAACTAATAAACTCACGACTTTCACGGACAGAGTTATTACAGTCTCGGCGGCACCGCTCGTCCCTTTTCCTCCTTTGCCCTCCGCATTTCGCTTCTCGTTCCATCCTCACGCGCCGTTTCGTGGCCTGTAAGTTCTTGGCTCGTCCTTGCCCCCGGTCTACCGCCAGCACGCTTCTTCGTCCTTCTTGAATTTTTTTACTTCCATCTTCTTCCTTCTTATTCTACCCCTCATCTTCCTTTTTCCTCCTCCGCCTCCTCCACCTCCTCCTCTTCTCACTCTTTCCTCTATCATGCTTCCAATTCCTGACATGGAAGGGAACTCTCTTTTCGAAAAATTCTTTACAAATGTGCTCTTTTGATAATAAAATGAAATGAATACAATGAAAAATATAAATATCATTTTTATAATATCTTATATGAGACTTTATATACGATATAAATAATCTTTCTCTTTGGTGGGTTAAATATTTTCTTTCACATTTCGATCGATAGTATATATTTCAACAATATTATAATTTAAAAATGAAATTAATAATATCATATCACTCACCCTTGATATAATTTAAGGACTTATTTTCTATCTACTCTGTATTATAAAATTAAATTCATTAGGCAAAGATAATTTGTGCCATTTGTTAAATTGGTTTCTTGCATTTTGAAGAACGACCTCGATCAAAAAGGATTCGCTAAGAATGAAGACTAAATGCGAGGGTGTAAATCGCCTAATTCCCTTTCAAAATAATCCTCGCGAGGTCGAGGTTCCGTGAGTCGAATTCCGTGAAGCACGGTGCTGCGATAAAAGGAATAAGAATGAATAAGAGAGAAAGAGAGAGAGAAAGAGTGAAAGGATAAGGAGGAGGAGGAGGAGGAGGAAGTGGAGAAGAAAGGCACTACTTGGACAAAGCCGCAGGCGACCGTCTCTCGGCTTATGGAGCCCTTGCGATCGTTGTCGCAGAACGAAGGGGCAATCGAGTTACACTCAACGCCTCTTCGTTGTCTCCGCCAACGTTATATATATATATATATATATATATA